AGTTTAGATTAAACATCATTTCGCTAAACTGTCCAATTACACTGAGATTTGGTCAGACTGGAAATTAGTCCTGTACTTAAGTAGTTGATGAACGTACTGACTAGCTTTATTCTTATCATATTATGAGGTAAGGATTTTCAACACTTGAAAGTTGATGAAAGTAAGGTGACTACAAATATATCATTGAGCTGACAGGTGTGATTAACAAGCCGTATACTCTGCTGGTAGTGGCTATCTGTGGAATCCAACATGATTGTTGCGTCCTATTTCAGACTCGCCAGCTGAATGCACTTGCGATCCAGTGGGTTTCAGTGTTCCTACTGAGACTCAAACCCAGGGCTACTCACTTCAAATGCCAGAGTATTATCTATTAGACTACCAAAGGAGGAGAACCATCTCTTGTGCAACGGATATCAGTTGTTATTTATTGATATTTGCACTTCCCCATTGTTTTAATGGATCGAATAGATTGACCTTTGTTGTCATATAGCCTCCAACGCAAACGCCTCACTACGTTATGCCTCAGTAGCCCAGTGGACGATGCTCTTGCGCTTAAAACGAGGAGTGGTGAGCTCGAGTCTCGGTGGAAACACGGAAACTCACTGGGACGCAACCTGCGTGCAGGATCCCGCTGCTAGCCACCACCAGCAGAATAATATGCCTGTACCTTGCTGATTCTTCCCTGGAAACTAGACCTGATTTTGCTTTAATGCTAAGAATCTTTCTTTAGTATTTCAACCATATGCTTGTTGTACTGTTAAGAAACTACTGATTAAACAGGTAACAGCATTTATAGTGCATACTTCAAGTAATACCGAAATTTAGATCTGAGTCTACAAGTGTCTATTTAATCTGATAAACCAACAAACAAGTATTAATCAGATGGGATAACAGCTGGTTGGTGTAAGTATCAGTAATCTGTACTGGGATGGGAGACTAATTGCTGGGAGCACCATGAAGTGCATATCATAAGTACTGTTGTTTATTAACCTGTTTTTACGCCACCAAACATCAAAAGCTTTTCCGGACAGGAAATAAACTTCAAAAGAAGTAACATTAGCATCCAGAAAGAAAAACAAACTTTTCCACTTTACATCACTCATTATTATTGGTTTTTACTTTCCTGAGAAATATTCTTTTTTGAATAAAAATAACTAATACAGGAACAATGGAATCTGATTCAGCGCAAATGCTTCAACGAGCTGTAACAAGTGTTCATGTTTGTTGGCATAGATGCTTCACTCTTTCAATGCAAGATATACTACGCGCTAATGAAGTAAGTCGATTTTATCTGTCTAAAGTATTCATTATCTCCTTCATATACGAAATCTCCTAGTCACATGAAAACAGAATATTATTTACATTTTTCTCTTGCTTAAGAAAAATAATTTCTAATAAGTAACAATTGTTCACTTAGCAGTGTTAGTGAGACCATCACTTAAAGTCTTATTAGTAACTGTGAAGGTATTTTATAAAAGAAAATAATTTATTCGTTTTCTTTTCACAAATATATTATCTTCTACTCGTTAGCGAATCAACAAGCATTTCCCGAATTCATTGTGTATGTGCTGTCAAGTATTAATTGGGCATTTCTTATAAAATCCATGCAGTATTCTATTATAATGATACATACGATCCAGGACACATATGCTTTGATAACTCAACTGTTTGTTATAAAGAAAAGTGATGCATAATAACAGCTGTTTTACTATCAATAGTCTCTTAGTGCGATTGAGAAATCACTTCCAATAAGTAGATACACACATTTTGATCTATAGAAGTTCACGCACAAAATTCAAGCGAAGTATGAAATTGTACTATTGAATGATTATCATAAATAACCGAGAAGTTTTGATAACTAGCAGACTTTTCCAAGTGCCAATTTTAAATCTTATATTTCTTCAGTAGCTAACCAATTAGATCCTGGTACTGGGATTGTTAAAAAGCTGATAAAATTATACCAAATTAGATACATTTACTGAGCGAGCAAACTTAGTACGGCTGTTTAGATAACGAAGTTTGGTTTTAGTAATGTGAACTATTAAAATTTATTCAATGAAACTGACTAGTAGCGAAAAACTAACCTACACCTTTCTTTTGTAGTGCTTTTCACTCACAATTCAAACTTAATGCCTTTTAAGGGTGGTTAAGTCTCTGATTTCCAGGTTATTGTTAATAACACACATACATGTTTACTGATCACGGTAACTTATCTCCTTCTAAACTAGTAGCTAAAATGTTTGTTTACATTAGAAAAATGTATTGTGATGAAAAAACATCGTTTATGCTAACGTAAGTTTTGATGCAACCTGAAAAACAAAGCCAGCATATATAGAGAATTTATTTGACCAGCCAAAACGACAGCAAACCGTCAACTGATCCTTATACATTTGTTGTTTCAATTTTTAAGTTCCAGACAAGTGGATATCTATTGAGGAAGTTTAAGAACAGCAACGGTTGGCAACGGCTTTGGGTTGTCTTTACTCAGTTATGTCTATTTTTTTATAAAAGTTATCGTGATGAATGTCCACTGGCTAGTTTACCACTTTTGGGATATACCATAAGCAAACCTGGACCAGACGATCAGATCCGACGTGATAATGTACTAAAAATGCAATTCAAAAATCATGTGTACTTTTTTCGTGGAGAAACACGTCATTCATTTGAAAGGTAAGTCTATTCATGAATCAAGAATAAATAACTTGTACATTGCCTTAAGTAACAAACGAGTCAACTTCCAAAATGAGATACATATCACCGGATTCATAAGCAACTGTCATCACAGATCTGCATCAACAAATACAAGGTGTCAAAATAATCGAAAATATATGACACTAGAATAGTAACATGACAGATACTCCAGTTGGCTAAATATTGTCGCAGTGACCTAATTCCTTACTAATCAACCGCGTATACATATCACACATTTGTCGAGAGCAAGATGTTGCTATACCACAAAGTCCACGCTAAGAGAAAGATCTGAAGGTACGATCTTCCGTGACGCGTAAACAAAAGTTCAAGTGTAATACGGTATAATCATAATGGATCCCAGAAGCAAATGCAAAGAAGTTTCGAGGAGAATTCTACGATTAAAAAAAGACACAGTGCGCAACCTCAAACACCATGAAGATTGTAAATAAACGCTAGTTAAAACTTGCTTTAAGAAATATCATTTCTGAAGGATATTCTCTACATTATTATAAAAACCTTAATTGTGCTTCAGTATCCTCCACATAAGTGACAGTCAAAAAAAACTTGGGTATTGAGAAAAAACTGTATTAATAGTTATCCTCCCCAAGTAAAGAAAGGTGTGCATCAATCCATTTTCATTAATCAAACAATTAAAGACTTCAGGAAGGTGAATTTTTATACTAATAAGCAACTTCTGAATTTTTGTCAATCCGAATAATGGAAAGTTATAGTTGAACACTAAAAGGTTACGAAAACTACTCATTTAGGACTTAGTTTGCTGTCAATTGTGAACAAAATCCTGATGCAGAAAAATCCTACACTAAGATTTCAACTAAATGATACACCGGGTTGCAATGATTCCCTCAAATTAACAACTACATACAAAACATCAAATGCAAACTTCTCAGCGTTGTTTCATTTGAACCTGAGGTACTGAAGAGTAATTCGTTTATTAACATATGATTTCTGTGTCAGTACTACAGACTATCTTAATCCTGTTCAATTCAAGATATGAAATGTATAAAAGATATAAGATAGGCACTTATAAACGCAGAATTAGACAGGTGGGACTACTGGGAAACTAACTACAAGTGATGCGTTGACAATATTACTGATATTCATGAGAATTACAGATCTAGGTGAACATTACTCAATACTTCTGATACTTACATTTCGACTTCTAGATACATATAATACTAGCTTTTACTTATTGTTTATCTGATTTAATTCCAGATGGGTTGAATATTTGAGCTGTGCAGCCGGTGCCAGCAGACCATTGAATACACCAGTCACCAAATGAATGTTGAAGACAAATACCAATCATACACATATTCAACATTAACATGAAATCAACGTAGTTTATATGTACAGTTAAACTACATGTCTGTGAAATTATTTTTTACAAATCATATTGACATTTAAATCTTTGGTCTTATACTGACTGATTTCTAATATAAGAAAGATTAACATATAATCCTATTTGCTTGCGTTTACCTCTAGTGGTCTATACTACTGTTCCTTGTGAGACGCCGTGTTACAAGTAAAAAATAAGTCATATATGCAAGTAGTTTAATCTTTAAGTATGATAATGAATGACAGTAATGATAGATGGACAAACTTTTGCGCATTCATTATATCGATGGTTGATGAGTCGGCAATATATTTTCTCAGTTGACTAGACGAATAAGTTAGAAAATCCTAAACATTGACTAAATTAAAAGTGAACGTCTGATTGTTCGGCACACACACACACACACACACAAAAGAATAACATAGTCAGCACTTAAATAGTAGTAGTGGAAATGAAGTAATGTGCAAAACGTTTGCTGTTATCTAAATACCTGTTGATTGAAAAAGGTAAAGAGAAAAATATAGCTTAAATCTCATCAGCACAAACGTGTTCAGTAGAAATGAAGAACTGACACAGAACAGGATCATCAAACAACAAGAGATATCTATGAAAGAACATACTATTCTATACTTAATTTGTATAGAATAATTTGTATAGAATAGTGTGTTCTTTCACAGATATCTCTTGTTGTTTGATGATCCTGTTCTGTGTCAGTTCTTCATTTCTACTGAACACGTTTGTGCTGAGATTTTTCAAGCTATATTTTTCTCTTTACCTTTTTCAATCAACAGGTATTTACATAACAGCAAACGTTTTGCACATTAGTTCATTTCCACTACTACTACTTAAGTGCTGACTCTGTTTTATATATATATATATATATATATATATATATATATATATATATATATATATATATATATATATCAACATGATGTATAAATAATAAGCAAAAAATGCAATCTGCCGTTATTCTCTTTCAGATTGTGAAAAGAAAAGAAAAAAATACAATAAAATGCAAAGGTGTAATACTGTATCAGTTTCATATAGGGGACATCTCATTTGAAATAGCATAAATAAAAGGAAGATCCATAGCGGAAAATCATATTCTGACATACTGATCCTGAGGATAGTTGTCTTTGGATAGGAATATCAATTTATGATGGATGAATGTGTAGGGAATATATTCCCTTGACATTTTCTGTTCAATCTTTCGAGTAATCATCTATTAAAGAAAAGAGATGACAGAACTTATTAAATAACATAAAAATTCCGATATTCTGACAAGAACAGTTCACTATTATGATGTATCAGACAGCGAATTCAAACTAGAGTACCAGACAGCCAAGAGATTGTTCGTAACAGCTTTAATTCAGAGAGCCAGAACAAGCAATTATTAGTAACTAGTCCATTTAAAGTTACACTTCACCATAAACCAGGGAACTATCAGATTTTGAGACTTCTTTACAGTGGAAACTACGGTCACGAATCATCGAATTACACGAAACCACAAATGTACAAAATAGATTCTGTTCAGTAAAAAAAAGGTAAACATCAGTACACTAAGCCACTAGTTATGTTAGTTGATTGAGGAACTAAAAGCTACACGACTATTCAACTCAAATCTAAGTTGGTGAGAAAACTTTCTTTAGAATTTCAGTGATCAAGCTGGGTAAGATAAAAGAGTGTTACAAATAAAAACCTCATCAATCCATACACAATCTATGCTATTTTCAATTTGCTGAAGAATCAAGTCTTCGTTTCGGAAATTTTTTGACCGAATAACAGAATCGGAAACTCTAGATGCAAAGGAGAGTGGAGATGTATATCGATAAATTACTATTATTTGAGCCTACTTCCAAAGCTAGTACGATAGCGAACTCGCTCACTCGCAACCCTCCACAAGCATTTTTAAATACCAAGATTATCTCTCGAAAGTATTTCTCAGATGCAAACAATAAGTGATACTGTGAACTTGCAAAAAACTCACAGAAACCTACTTTCAACAGTTATGTCTCATAGACGTATAATAGGACTTGAGAACACCAAACCTAAGAAAACTAGGGAGTTAGAAAGTAGATATGAAGAGATTACAGGTTTTTAACAACAGGTGTCTTTTAACATTGCTCATGTACGTTAAAATCACCATGTGAGTAACGTCGAGGTTAAGCGGAGGGTGCTAAGCAAAATAGGCAAGTCGATCGATGAGCTGGGAAACCTTCAGCAACTGAGGTGGCTTGAACAATTTTCGCGCATGCCGAAGCCACTTTCTACCTCGACTAGCAAAGTTAGCAGGCATTGGGTTAAGTTGAAAGGAAGCTCAGGATAGCTAGACTAGGAATTAACATCAGTCCATGAAGTCTCTAACTATGCAGAGAAGTGTAGACTGCTTGGCTGGGTTCCTCGACACCCCAAGGATCAATGGCTGAAGACTCTTGACGAAATAGTTAAAAATCGGTCACAGTGGCGCAGATGTATTCGCTTTTCGACGTTTGTCTACTTTGATATGACTCTTTTTCCATCCACTTGTTCTTTTCATGCTCTTATAGTGTAGTAACTTGGATCGATGCTTTCTATATTGATTTCGTCCATCTGTCTTAGTGGCGAAAACAAAGGATAAAAATTTCCCTCAGGATGAATGTGTTTGCATTAAATGGATGTCAGTATGCAATGTATAGGATTTCCAAGCTGTCGTTAACTTGAGGTAATAAACAATTATCACTACCTTTATAAGCTACGGTTGTAGTTCAGTGCACCTCACTTCCAACAAATGAGTAGCAAATCTGAAAACTTGCCATATAGTATTTGTCAATCTTTCGAGAGCGGCATGACTGACTGTATAGTATACAAACCTGCAAATGGCTTCCTAGTTACGATACCTTTTCTTTTTTCCCTGACTTATTGAGTACCAGACGTAACATTCCATTAGAATTTTCAAAACATATATTCTAATAAATCGCGTCGAACAAGAAGTACCTTAGCAAAACTGCTTTAACACTACAGTTTTAGTGCCACAAATCTTTATCAACCTCATTCAACAGCAGCTATATGCTATGCTTATGATGCTACATGCCAAATTATTCACAATGGAAAGCTCAGCTCAGTGGTGCCTTTGAAGTGAAGACAGGTTGACAAGTAAGACAAGGTTGTCACCTACTATCACCGATCATCTTCCTGATTGTGGTCAACTGGACTCGACTGGATCATGCAACAAACTGTGAGGAGGGAGAAGATGGGCATACGCTGTTCGACGGATGAAAAGACCCCAGAAGAAGATCTGGATTTCACCGATGGTCACTTATGTCTCATGTCTAATGTTGCACAAACTCGAAGATCTACAGGCAAAAACTAACAAGTTGACAGAAGGGGTAGGCAGCAAAAACGGCATTTCCTTCAGGTGAGTGTAGAGAAGACAGAGGTGATGAAGATGATACCCAACCACCACCACCACCAAAAACAATCACAAGCACCAATCACCATGAAAGGGAGAAACCTAAAGGAAGTAGTCTCTCACCTACACCTACCGAGGCAGGACAGCATCGTTTCAACTACAGGCGGCAGCGGTGGCGGCACAGATAAGGACATCAAAGCCAGGATCGGAAGGACACCAAGACAGGCCTTCATTAATTTGAAATCAGTGTTTAGATCTACTGCACTGCACTGCATTGCACTCAGCATAAAGCGTGAACAAGATCCGTATTTTCAACACTAATTCAGTCAAGTAAGTCAGTACTTCTATATGGTTCAGAAACTTGGCGTGTCACGAAAAGCATTTCCAACACACTACACACATTCATCAACAGCTGCCACCTACACTCACTCACTCACTCGATGCTGAAGATGGAGATCAGATGGCCAGAATTATAAGAATGAGCAAGAAGGAACTCACTCCGGCTGCCAACGGACCAACGAAGCAACAACCTATCGTCCAACAAATATGCAGAAGAAGGAAGTGGGGAAGGATTGGATTGGGCAAACACTGAGAAGACAGTTTTGGGGCATCACATGTCAGGCTAGGCCAGGCTGTCGAGTGGAACCTAAAGAGGAACCGACGAGTTGGGTGTCCGAGGTGAGGGTGACATGAAAGAGATCGTGTGAGGAAGAAATGAAAGCTTGTGGACAGTCGTGGAGTCAGGTTAAAATGACTGTATAGAAGAGAGTGAAATGGAGACGTGTAACTGAAGCCCCATGTTCGACTAGGAACCCAAATGACAAATAAAAATAATTATTATTACTATAAAGGAATAGTTAACAACTGCCACTAATTTTTTGTGAAATACTTAAGTATTGATGGGACCATTCAAGATAGTCGTAGTTTGGTAGGCTGATATTACTGACACAGGGTGATGATTGAAACTACAATGAAAACCTCGTTCGCGACAGGATTCGAATCAGTGATGACTTCTAGAACACTTAGGTATCTATGCACACCAATTGCTTAAATATTCATGTGTAACTACAAGGCTATGCAGAAGCAAACAGTTAATCGTTTCGAAAAATGGATCTTGATATAGAAATTATGAAGGTATTGAAATGGTAAGGGGGGAAAAAATGTTCATAATAGCGAGCATCCCAACATTAAGTTGACTTTCAGCATTCTGTAATTATTAAACTTTTTAAAATAGTCAGGTGTTAAATAAAGCCGAAACTCTAGTCACAACATTCACCACAATCAAATATAAGGATTAATATAGCGATGCCCTATTGGTTTCTGGTGATTAAAGATGTTAAACCGAGCAGTCAATAGTACGTATTTGCAGAGTTTTTAAATATACTTTGAAAAGTATCAGAAAACCAAACTACTAACTGTTATAAAAACGAAAATGATATGAAAAAATTACCTGCTGTGGCGAAAAGTGCTCGACAATCAACTAATGATGCTAATTCAGTAATTAGCTTATGCAATACACGACAATCCATTAACTCAGATCCTGGAAGTGGAGGGGAACAAGAGGGATAGAAAGAAGGTCCATGAAATCCTCGATGAAGTTGTAGAACAATATTGCAGAAACAATACCGCAGTATTATCGTTCGAAGGAAGTCATCCGAAAGGAACTGCTGGTACGAATAGTCTGAAAACATGTACACGTTGAAATAAATAGTTGACTACGAAAATTAAAAAAAACTAGAACATGCATATGATTACCAGTAAGATTATCAATTCTCTATGCTTTGATATAAGTTGATGGAAATTTATTGACTAATATGACTGCAACTTAGTAGCTATGTGCATTTTCGTGCAGTAAGCAAGCAGCCAAACCATGTGTGAGGGCTAATGGTACTACCTAGCTGCGCAGACCTCGGTGGGTGGAATGAGGTTCGAACAGGTGACCCACTGGTTGAAAAATCCAACGTCTAGAATAATGAGTCACAGTTTCAGTATACTAGGGTCGATGGAAAAGACCAGTGACAAGATAATTTACTAACCATATACATGTTCATATTCTTTGCGCAAAAAAAATTCAGAGCCATCATCCAAGGTGAAATTAATGTTTGACATTTTACTTAACGTGACAAATGAGAGGCCGAATCAAGATAAAACCTGTATAAGCCGTTAAACTGGTGTATATGCTAGATTCTGACAAGAAGTGTGACTGCAGACATTCCCTAAATTAGCATAACACTCAAGAGAAGGGGATGAAGTGAATACATTCGGCATCATTTATTTTGTTGAGATTTTCAACAGCTACACAGAATTTAACACCGAAACATTTATACAAATCTAAAGCTATTAAGCGATACTTCATCAAAACAAGTGAAGATATTGTAAATTGTGCATACCTAAACTTCTTGAATGTGTTAGAACTTGGTAGCATTCAGTTAGAAAAGAATCTATGATCCCTTGTGCTCGATCATATGTCTTCAGGTTGATTTTAGTTAAATTACACGTTAGGCAAAATGCAGTTAGTGGACAATGTAAGAATAATGTGAACAGATTGCCTCGATGTCGTTGACTTTCTAGTTTTTCCGGGATAACTTCAGGTGAAAGGAGACATACAAAAGGTTGACCGAACAGGTTCGGAATATTCTGCAAAATAAGGAAAAGGTATAGATGATGACAAATCAAATAAAAATATGCAAAATAACCGGCAACCAGTAATCACTTTGGTTGTGATAACATTCAAGTCTAGATCATCAAGCTTATTACCTACCTCTTATTAAGAATTATATGAGAACCAGATACACTGTTAAGCTTCAGAAATCTAGAACCTAGATGGTTTATGACGTGGAATGGCAACTCATGCAAGATTCGCACCCAATAAGTGAGCCACTGCATACCTAACAAGTGTCTGCTACTTTGTTTTAACGACTTTTCGAATTTGACCTTTACTTCTTATTTACTGTGTTGTGAATGACCTTACCTGTTGACTTAGAGAAGCTCAGTTGGCTTTAATAAGTACATAAGACTAATATCTAACCTGTTTCCTTATGGGTAATCAAGATAACGGATGGTTAAATCGGATGTGTAAAACTTTGTAATAAGTGATCAGTTTGAAAATCGCAACAAACGCTTATTTATCGATACAGAGTGATTCTCAGACATCAGATGAAAAAATAGATCGCAACAGGGTTCGAATCAGCGGCTTTTGGGGTTACCGGTTCAATAGTAACCATCTGGACTATAAGACCCAGCTGCTGGTCAGGCTTTAATCTCACTCTAACCACCAGGGATTTCGCCTGGCTGCTATGTGAATCCAGTCTGCTAAAGCACGAATTGACAATAGATATTTGTTTCTTTGAGGTAAATAGATCACTTGGGCAATCAGTCCAATTGTGAGGTACTAAGAGTTGAGCTAACTGTTATGAAAAAAGTGGAATCGCAGAGTGAAAATTAAAAGATTAACTTATGGGGAGGTATTTGTACTGTTCGTATGCAAAGTGCCAGACTATCCATAATGGGTTTAGCTATACTGACCAGAAAACTTGTCTCTAATCAATTATTATGAACCGAAATAGACACCACACAAACCGGTTGAAAAGTATATCTGCAACTGTTGGAAGGTAAATCAATTGAATGAAATACAGTCATTCGGCTTTTACTAATCCACAAGTTTCGGAGATTTTTAACTTCGATTGCAAAACAGCGAGAATGTATGAAAAAATGAGTAGCAAGTACAATAATACACAGATAATCGAATGCAGGGACTCGCTACACATCATTTCAGGGAAAAGTAGTTTTGCAGAATGCACAGAGGAATGCACTAGAGTTGTACTCATATTCTAAAGCATAAGGGTAAATAAAGCAGCGCTAAAGGTGTCGTAGATTGATTTTCGCTGTTGTGGCTTTCGGTGTTGTCCAACGAAACCTTGCAGATGCCCAGAAATTCGCGAAAATCTTTCATATGCTGAGAGTGCAACCGAAATAATACTTAAATAGTCAGAAATTAGCCTGAGCAGTACACTGAGGTACTGCTGAACCAGTTAAGGTATGAATATGATTCGTTGCATCACGTACTACACCAAGTTGTATGTTTGACTCTTCGGTTACAAGCATCTATAGTTTGATTACTAGCACAATGATCACATGAAAGGGAGTGTAAGTGGGCGGAAATTGTAGTGCATGGTTAGTTGAGATTGATAATAAATCTGTTACCAAGGAAATATATGTACTTAATAACTAACTAAAGTGCGGGAAGATATTGCTTAAATGCATCATCTATACGACTGCATTCGTTTATGATTTACTGGTGTAAAATTTTCAAAATAAGAAAGTTTGGATCAATATTCAGTTGTGACTTGAGTCCACTACAAACAGATGTCGCTTAATCTACGACTCAAGTACTCTATGACTAAGTACTGATTTTTAAGTCAGAAATAATCACAACTGCTAGCCACTACCCATCATTTATATCAAATTTGAAAACGTTGGTAATAATGAGGTATTCGAACAGGAGCCTGTATGCTAATAGTGGTCGATCAATTAGGTCCGATCACCGACGGAGATTCATAAGCTATAACATCAAGGACTATAATAATAACCGTAACCCACATACTACTCAGTAGACACTGCAATCAAGTCAAACACACGCATAGTATAGTTCCGTAAAGGAATGAATAACTTACAAAGCGATGACTTTTAGCACCAATAATGTACGGTTTTACGTTATATACAATCAAAAATGGAGTGGTAATAATATGAAAACTTACCCGAAACGTGGTGCTATTATCACTGTCAATAATGACGAACAGAGGTTTGCGTGTATAAAGCAGGAGATCACCAGGATGAATACTTTAAAGGAATATTGAAGATATGTTAACTTAAGTAGGTGAAATTTAAAAACTTTAATTAACAGGAAGTAATAGTACTTTCAAATATTTCAGTGCTCTCAGGTTTCCAATGTTCCCGACAACTGATTTCAGTCTATGATGAATTACAACCAGAAATCAACTAATAAATCTCCACAAACCTCCAAATTGAATTAATCTGATGCCTATTGGTGACCAGCTTCGAGAGATGATTCCTGAAGTCCTAATCAGAAGTCGTGACCAAAGGAGCCAATCTAGTCGAGGATGAAGACAGTTACTTGACGATGACATTGAATGGAGGTCGCATTATATCGTGAACTGACAGAAGCAGGAAATATGGACCATTAGCTCAACGGTAATCTGCTCGTCACAGAACCTGAAGGTCCTGGATTCGATCCCCGGAGGGGTGAGGTCGTGGGTGCGGACTGCTGAGTAGTCTCGTTCAAGGACGAAACAGCTGTCCTGTGCTCCCAGGCTTCCAATGTTTCTTCAACTGGTGTCAGTCGATGGTGAATTTCAACTTGAAATCAACCAATAAATCTCCACAAACCTCCAGAGTGAAATATTCCCAAAGTTAAGTACTTCAAATTATCCATAACCATGATAACATAGACCAATGAAGGCTTCTTTTCAAAAAAATAACAATACAATTTACCAAAGTTGTTTTGAGACGAAATGAACAATATACAACATACACTGGCTACAGCTGATTCAATAGCAGATAAAAATTATTGAAAATTACAAAAAAATCTAGACTGAGCACGTATCCAGCAACGTGGCGTGCATGTGTACAGCGACTTCAATTGCAAAGCCATCATATAAGGGAAAAAAGGAACAGCGTCACAAAAAGACAGGTAAGACTAACAACGTGAAGGATGTTTGGCAGGGGGGTAGGGTAAGCTGTCTTTTTATCATGTTTCTTGTCCAGACTCAAGTGATCCTTCTTAGTCAATGCTTTTATCGTTTAAACACTTTCAATAATCGTAACACTCCCTATTAGGAAGGTGACTTAACAATTTAGAGGCTTAGTAAAACAGGCTGATAGTATTACTATTTATTGACATACGTGTTATTCTCCGTTGTTTTGTTGGATCGAATTGTTCAACCTCTATTGGCATATGGGCTCCTATGCGGATACCTCGATATTACCTGAATGTTAGTTATGATAAATTGGTTGGTTGTGGCTAGTAGAAGAATCCAGGACGCGCGTTTCATCCTATTTGGGACTCGTCAGCTGGATGTACCTGCACCCCAGTGATGTCGTTCCCACTGGGACTAGAACACCGTACCCATCGCTTCAGACGCCAAGGCGTTATCCACTATGCCATGGAGGAACGATAGCCACATCCAGCTGACGAGTCCCAAATAGGATGAAACGCGCGTCCTGGATTCTTCTGCTAGCCACAACCAACCAATTTATCATAACTAACATTCAGGTAATATCGAGGTATCCGCATAGGAGCCCATATGCCAATAGAGGTCGAACAATTCGATCCAACAAAACAACGGAGAATAACACGTATGTCAATAAATAGTAACAACTACTACCCGTTGTACAAGAAGTGGCTATCGTTCCTCCGTGGCATAGCGGATAACGCCTTGGCGTCTGAAGCGATGGGTACGGTGTTCTAGTCCCAGTGGGAACAACACCACTGGGGTGCAGGTACATCCAGCTGACGAGTTCCAAATAGGACGAAACGTGCGTCCTGGATTCTTCTGCTAGCCACAACCAACCAACTTATCAGGTTGATAGTAGATTAAAAAGTCACGATTTAAAACTCTACCTTACACCCATCGAAATTATTGTAATTTTCTCATACGAAGGATGGTTTTTTTATTTGCATTATACAAACTGGTGGTAAGATCTGTTTTCAAATCAACCAACTTTCTACAAACCATTTTTAAGTGTACAAAACTTGCTCTCATTTTCGTTAAGTTGCCAGTTTAGCCTCGCGGTTTCTATTGGAAAAGAATACGTGAATAGTAAAATGGATATGTGAAACACATTCAGTGCAGGGGCACAACTTTAAATCTGTGACGAAGTAAGTATTATTCACGTCTATCTGCATAGTCATTGATAAGAACTACATATTAATAAGAGTTGCAAAATGTTCATACTAAGTTGCCACACCTCACAGCAGAAAACAACGAACAAGTGGATAGAAAAGAGTGATGATAATGTTGAAAAAGTTGTGTGACAAAATAAAGAATTTGAAGATAACGGTTAGTGCAAATATTCAAGCTTTAGAAGATGTTAAGGAGTGAAAACATCTGTGCCACTATGACAGACTTTCAGCCGTGTCGTGGAGAGACCTCAACCACTGATTCTTATCATCTTAGCGTAGTCTGTATCTCCGCATAAGGCTCAGACAAACAGCTAAGAACTTCACCGACTGATGCAACGCCTTAGTCTGCCCAAATTTTGACAGAACAAGTTACAAGTGGAAACAAAGATGAACCACAGATGAAACTTCAGTAAGACGAATATACAACACTGATGGCTTGAACGTGTGATGTGCATGCCAAGCCACCGGCTACCTCGATATGCTATACTGGGGTAGGGTGGATTAGATTGGAAGAGGGATCACGGTGGCCAGACTAAGATATGGCATCAGTTGATGAAGTCTCTTACTGATGACCAGAGCCGTGTGGGGAAATGCAGACTGCCTGGCTGGGGTCCCTGAAACGAAAGGAAACAGTGGTTGAGGTCTTTTGGTGACAGCTGAAAATCGGACATATTGGCGCAGATGGATTCACCCCTTGACATCCAGAGCTAGAATATTCGCATTAAACTTTATCTTCAGATTGTTCATTCTCTCATAAAACTTTATCTTCTTTCATATCAACTTTTTCTGTCAACCTGTTCTTTGTCTACTAGTGTAAAGTATGACAACTTGAGCCGATACACCTGTGTGCAAGGTTCTACGTTGATTGTGTCAGCCAGGCGTAATTGTAAATTCAGCTAGATTTCTTGAACAGATTTGAATTTAATTGTTGAGGGTGGGAATTTGAGTTAGAAAAAAATCCATAGCCTGTATGTATTTTAACTGGTCAGGAGGGCTGCCGGCTTAGGAATTCGCCAACTGAGCTACAAAACCGGAAAACTATTGATATAAGTAAGTGCAGAACGTCACTTTCACCCTATTACAATCATAGATATTGTACACTATTGAAGTACAGCAGTGAATACTGTCCAACATGATTCTACTGAAAATATAATTCCGAAAACAGCAGTTTCACAAAATTTGTTAGTAACCAACTAAAGTGGCTTACCAATGAGGTTCTTTAAAATTAAATCGTCTTGGTTTTACAGTGAATTCCTGTTCGTGGCGGTTGTTTGTAACAACTCCCCCATAATCATAACCAGCTGCTCCCAAATGCGCTATATGAAAATGAAATGGAGAGAAATTTAGTAAAAGCATGTACTTGGTTCAAAAAGCCAAAATAAAACCTGTGTAGAATGGCTAGTTTATCTAAGCATATGGTTTAGGATACAGGTTACCCTAAAGAATTCTGATCGATTGTGTGCCCAGGTTTCAGTTGCTAAGGCAAGAATAACACCAATTACCATAACAACAGAAATAGATTGACTGTTTCTCACCATAGCAACTGGAAATCTAATTCAAGACCGAACAAAGAAATACAGGATACACATCGTGACCTTAGTCATTTAGTTGCCGACTCAGCAACTAAAAAACAATTCAGCATAGTAACAACGTGGTTTGAACACATCTCACTGGGATAGACGGTTAAGCTGAGGGCTAATTTGGTGAAAGAATTTAATGCAAATAGAGAGAAAGGTGAATCATGAGTTTTGAAACTACTAGGGGAAAATATTGTAAACATTACTGTACATTGTGCAAAAAATTGAAATATCGAAATATTACCAAGATAAAAAGTTATCATTGTGTGTAAACTTTGCATTAAAAATCAACTTATAATAAAATACATCGAAATCAAAGATTAGTAATTTCATAGTGAGTGATCGTCTTTTGCACTAGCAAAACACATCTACAGGTCAAGGTCATCTGCAGTTGTGTAGACCCTAGTTATGAGTATAAATAACTGAACGTATAAATGAGCAATAGGCAAATATGCAGTACACGGTGAAGACGAATATGAAATCTCAGTTAATTCATTTCGAATTATTTACTAGGGTGTTGATAATAAATCAACTTAACTGCTAGACTAGATCATGAATCACACTTACTGTGTGTTATCATTTGACCATCGGAGATAACCGTAGTTTTATAGACTAGTATTTGTACTGGGTGATGATTGAAGGTGAGATGAAAATCTGGACCGCGACCGGATTCGAACCGGCGACCATCACTGGTTTGAATCCGGTCGCGGTCCAGATTTTCATCTCACCTTCAATCATCACCCAGTACTTACCGTATGAGCAGGACTTAGTTGCCCAAATGCATGACACACCGATAAAAAGTTGGATGAATACTTAATCAAATGGCAATAACACCGACCACTACGCGATGTCGGTTAAGCTAAACTAGCTGGAGTTGGTTTTGTGTTTAAGTACATGACTAGGATTTAGGTAAATACAGTATGCAACTGACTGAATACTGTCGAATGGAATCAACAGTTTGCATTGCTCGGTCTTCATACACGTGTAAGAAAATGGTTCATCACATTATTTGAAAAAAAGATAGTTACACAGCAGGAAGCTCAATTGTTGCAAAGCTGCTTACCGTTACTTTTAATAGAACCTCAGTGTTGAGATGCTGTGGTCTTCCCTTTTCACACCATGCCAACAAACGATATACTTAGGGCTTTAATATCTGAGTGATCTGATACGACTATGAATAGTAGTTTTTCAAAGTTTACTCATATGCTGAAGACCCTCAATTGAACTAAGGAGCTGTGTTAAATTAAACAACTATCAGAGCATCATGAAGTGAATTCATTCTCTGCTCTTCTGCGTTTTTGAGAAGCTGGAAAATCTAAAAGTATGCTTCGAACATGGTTCACGAAAGACAGAAAACTTCTCATCTTCGAAGGACTTGGTGAAAGTATTTGATTTGATCATAGAATACGGAAAACTGTGTTATAAGGTGACTACAAGCTAGTATCAAAAATGATTGAAGATTAGAAATATGGTACACACTACACTTCGGAATCCTACGTTTTCTCAGGAGAAAAGTGACACTTCAACAGTAGGTTATTCAAACAAGAAAAACAAGTGTCATACTTCTGTGTAAAGATAAATTATAACATATCGGTAACGCTACACACAGTAGTAACTATATCATGCGATAACTAGTAGTGTAGTCCACTTATAAATATCTCTGAGTCTTTTAATGCATGTTATCATTCTTTTTTGCAAACTTTAATGTGGACTATTAAGATCAGTAAGCACCATTTGAGTATCTTTTTTGAACATCTACAGATGTAGAACGGTATGCAGGATTCCAGACTGACTAATTCATGGATGATAACATGAGCAACTGAAACTAAACAGGAAATGGTACGATCACTGAATATACATTTAACAAATAAATGCACGTTCGTATACTACGCAATAAAATACACATTATGTGAGGACTAGTAACATTACATAACTATCCAGACCTCAGCAGGTGGAACGGCGTTCGAACCTAAGAACCACTGGTTGAAAGTGGAGTGCCTAGACCGACGAGTCAACCCAACCATATATTGTAAATAACTGGGTCAACATTCAGTAACTGGTGATATGGAACTAAAACGACTCAATCATATTAATGAAATTCTTAGTATGTCGTTGACGCCAACCAATATAATCCTTAGTTCGTATGATCTGAAGAAGTTAAGTCAGGTTGATTTTTGAGAACCTACTTCCTCGAATAGCATGTCAGCTATATGAGATATTGCAGCATCGTATTCGACCGTGCGTAGATTAACTCTTGTATACTTGCACCTTACATGGGGACAAAAACGGATACTGCTATGAATGCAAATTACTTAAAACACAAACTAAGTACAAAAGGGGCATAAAGAAAAGCGCTACACGATGTCATGTAACAATATCAAGACAAAAGTGATATAGAGGAGAAGAAAGAGGAAACAAAGACAAAAGCAAGGAACAGAAATGAGTAGTTTCAATGATACATTCAAAGGCGCTTTCGTTACCTTGGTTTTGCGCTTCTATGGTAGAAGAAACAATGCAGCTGCAGTATGATTGTCACTGTTTTCGATTTTCAGTAGTAGCTAATATGGTCTTAGGCACTGAGTTGGACAATTTCTGGAATCCTGTCCAGGTAGTCATGACAAAGTGGCTACTGAAAGCTGTTGACATCAATTATCTCTCTCTAGAACAGTGTCCATAAAGAATTAGGTATACATCACTGATACCAGTCTTTTTCCAAGAGTCCAAAAAAGAATAAGTAAAATGCAGAAACTAATAAATTGCAAAGTAGTAGCTGGATTATACCAGGAATTGTACTTTTCCTATACAGTAAGTTAAGAGGAAGATTCTTTTGAAATCGGTAAGTTGCAGGAAGGCCAAAAAAGAACATGGAAAACAAATAAAAGAAAACATAGTTGATGCATTTTTCGACACAGTCATCAATGAAACAAAAGTCATAGAAATAGAGCAATCTACATGAGTCCTTCTTATCTCCCAAACATTCTTAAGGAAATACCGATAGTAAACAGTAACCAACGGTTTCAGGGTGAAAAAACTGATTGACATGAGTAGAAAATTTAGTCTAGACAAGAGTGTGCAGTAGTCATGTATCATAACGGTTACGAAATTCGAAAACGCTACTTTACTGTTAAAACAGACAAGAATGCTCTGAATCCATAAAGTGAAGATTTCTAGGAAATCATGATTCCACTTATATGCTACAAAATGTTGCAAGAGTAAATGAACAGATACACTTTGATAAATTATAAGACATACATAACTTATAAATGCCGTGTACAAAGTATCGATATCGTACATATTTTAACATATAAAAAACTAGGCACATTCAGTCTTACATTCATTGGTTTTCGCTGTGGGAGCCCGAACACCATCAGCAGATATATATACTAACAGTGCACCATTGGCAGGGAGGTCCTTGAATGCTGCTGCGACATAGGTATTGAACTGAGAGAATGTAGGCTTGTATAACAGATATTTGTGGGGGTTTGTGGCTTCCGATGCATCAATAGGATAACCAGCAGGAACACCATTCTCCAGACCATCTGTGACACTGAACTTAGAATTGCGATTATTTAACACCTGTCCTCGAGGATCACGTTCAAATGTTTGCAACATACGGTACATATCTAAGGATAACTCACTATAGCGGATTTGACCATAGTAATTTCCAACAATAAGAACTTCAGAAAGCTGTAGATGGCCTAGTTCGTGTCTTTCGACTTGTGGGCTGTTGAATGTATTGAGTCTTTTTGATGCATAAATCTGTGGAGTATCACAGTCGACAATTTCGCATATAGAGTCACCATCAACAAAGTCCTTCATTTCTTGTATCATCATAACCCACCCAAGGTGGTCATCAGCATCATAAATATCAATATATTCATCAACTTGTTTTGAAAACTCCTAAAGCTGATAGTTTACTAAATAATAACATACTCTTATTAATTCATTTGCCAGCTTCATCTTGCGCAAAAGAAGGCATACTAATATAAAACGAGCATAATAACGAAGTTTCTTAATCATTAGGTCAGGTCTCTCTTCTTTATTTGCTTTGGAGTAATAGTCACGAGTTCGAATAGCTGAGAAAAACGCGAATGATTCATTCAGGTAATGCAGATCACTAGTGCGTAAACTAGACGAATTAAGAAAATAATTATGGAAAACTTACTAATAGTGATGGTATAACTGACCAATTTTCGATGCAACCTCACCAATTTGCCATCGCTTAAGTCCATAGAGTTCATCTAACTTTTGTCTATGCTGTTGTTGAAATTTCCATAATTTTGTGTATACATCGAAGGTGCGACCAAAATAGGCTTTCCACTGCCTATGACCATGCTGTGGTAGATCACTACAAAGCAAGGTTCAAAATACTGTAAGTAATTTACTCAGCGGTATGCACATAAATGATAAAGGTTCCATGGATTTTCGTTTGGTTTTGTTACCCTCGAAACTACCCTTTTATATCTGTACTATTAATTCATATCAATCAGTCAATATTAAAGTGGAACCTCGCATTCTGTGTACCAGTTCAAGTTCCCATACAAGACAATAGATTGAAAGAGAAATAAGAGATGAAATATTAACGAAATTTGATAAGGGGATTCGGATGAAGATAATGTAAGAATACATGTGTACTAATGAAGTCGATTCTAAAACACGTCACCTACAGTCTTCAACCACCAATCTTGGTTATCAAGCGTACTCTGACCGGGAAGTCTACGCAGCTGAAACTACCAGTCAAAGGCTTTATATACTGGTACCCGGTTTCCGTTTGGACCTCATTAACATTTTCCCAACTTAAATCTACTGCAGCTAACATTCCGTGATGAGGTAGACGGTGACTAGGTATACGAAACACATGTCCTAGACATCCAGGTCGGTGAGTGCTTACATCCTCATCAGATAACTTACCCCTTACTGTAACTCCGACTTCTGGGTTGCTTACATGGTGATTCTACAACACTTGATTTATGCCACGAAGACAACAGTGATCGTATGACTGAAGTCTTTTTATGTTCTCCACCTTTAACAATAATGTTTCACAGCGATGTAGTAGAAAAGATCGGACTGTAGTGCACTCGGATATCATGTAGGCGCATAAGATGGGGTAATTCGGTAAAGCCAAGAGAGTTTTTGTGTTCGTGCAGATTTTATCCGTCACTATCCAATTATGGTTGATTTGACTTCTTAGGTTATTAGAGTGGTTAACACGCTCAACAACTAATTTTTATTAAAAGTATTAACGTTAAGAAGATGACCGTGAAACTGACAGACAGACAGACCAATCATAAACTATCAGTGGAAGCAATTGGGACATAATGGAAAACATATCGACTGACCTAAATGCACCCCTCAGTTGCCCACCATTCAACCTCAATCAAAAATGAAATATTTACTCTCCAACCTTTGCTGAACTTGGAAAGGCTTCTGCAAACCCGATATAAAACAAAGCTTAAAGAATTGATGGTCTACATCTAAAAACCTTCAAAGAGAGTAACTCGAAATTACTGGTCGGACTTTCTAATGTCCTACCTCAGGCATGGGAATCAGAGATAATCCCATTGAATTGGTTTAAATAGTTGATTGTCCCGAACTATAATGGAGTGAACTATTCTTGTGATAAGGCAACAGACTTGACTAACAAATTGTAAGTCGTAAAGTCTTTGGTGATTCAAGACCAATTGAAAATGATAAATCCGATAAAAGCAGGTAGGTTTCAGATTAGGACAAAGGTGTATTGATTACATCGTAACGCCTTTTTAAGTTTTGATACAGTATACTTAGTAGTTGTGATGCATAGTTTTTGCTCGAAGCTGGAATTCTATCACATGAGTGGGTGGATAGTCTGTCTGGCTGTGAAAGAAATATCAAATAGATGTATTACGTTAATCAGTAACCTCTGCTAGAACTCATACTAACACGAAAGAGATTTAAAAAGTCCTTTGACGTGACGATAACCAATGTCCTCTACCACTGCTATTCCTACTAAGTTTCGTTAAAAATATGCCGACTGCTTACACACAACTCTTCAGGGATTGACCTGTTGATAAAACCTACAGTCAACCTGAACCAGGCAGATAATGTTGTCCAGTTGCGCAATGCCAGTATTCAGCAAACATTTGAATGTTTGAGCATTTCTTTCACACCTAACCAAACTAAATTAACACCTACAGACATCTTTTTGACACCTAGCTTAAACAGCTGCATACATTGACCACATAAGATGTTCCATCAGCCTCAGTGGACTACTTGCCGAAACTTCAGTAAGGAAACCAAACTATTAATGTAAGTATGAAATCTGGGCACAGAGATAGTTTAGTCCCATAGTAGATTCCCAGCTGATAGCTGCTATCATGACGTGGTGGTCGGGGTTGTATATCACAATGACCCAATGGGCTACGCTGGTTGAACGCTTGTTCCCCTGAGGTCCTAGCATAACAGAAAAGTCTGTCAGATTATGGTAAGACAAGATGCAGTCACTGTTATGGTTTAAATATTTGAGCTTGGACCGGGGTTCGAGAGCGAAGTAGTACCGCTGGCTGAACAAGGGTGTGACAGCAGTAAGGTGTTCTGCTCAGATGACCAGCGGTGTCACGCTACCTTCCCTGTGGGAATCAGGGAGGGGGGTCGAAGCCCGGCCCTAAAAACAGCACTCCTCTTTACTCTATGGTGTACCGATGTCGGATACATGGGTTCAAGATCCGACTTGCTCAAAGCAAACTAAACTGCCAAATTTCAAAAAACGTCGTCTGTCCACCACCTTCACAACCCTGTCAGCAGCCGAGATCAATTTCCACCTTCAATACTCTTACTTTCTAAGCTTCGTCCAAGTCTCTCGACCAACATTTCCAAGTCATTAATTTCTTTCAGCTTTGGAGTTCCTGACAACTACCCAAGTTCATAGAACAGCATTCTTAGCCTCCCGAAACCATGCTTCAAGCCACATATTGGAGTCTTTAATGCCTGCGACCCTCCATCGAGTCGGCGGACAAGTTTAAACAGCTAAAACTCTGGCAACTAGGACCAAGGACGTATGCTATCTGTGACACACGCACAGGACCTAAGTATAGTTATCCACTTAACTTCACCCGACCAATATGCCAAAATCCACAAAAATCACCCTTCGAGTTTCCGGAGATTTGATGGCCAATTCTGACAATCTTGCAGGTTTAAGCATAGCACTGAAACCAAGGGCAGGAAGTGTACAGCCCGACTGAATGGCATAGAGAGGACTAAAAAAGTTGTGAACCTCGCCGCCGTATTTTTGTAATCTCCACCTACTGCAGTTTAGATGAAGTGAAGGACGAGTTCTATCGAAAACTGTGTGACCTCTTACTCAAAGCCAAGAGCTCTGACGTGGTTGTTGAAGCAGGTGACCAATGTACAAATGAGTAGGCTGTCGAGCAGAAAAGCACTTGAATGGCAATTTTGAAATCGTAGTCAGATAGATAGTTAACTCTTCCACACTACTTTGTCTACCGTGATATCACTCTTTTTCTATTTATATGTTTTTGCGTACTACTTTGAAGTGTGGCAACTTGAACCGATGGACCTGTGTGCGAGATTCTACTTCAATTTTGTCAGTCAGTGAGATACAGTTAACGACAACCACCTGGTACAACTAAGCGCAAACAACTATCTGTTTCTGGCCAGCATGAATCCGACAAAAGGATACTTTGTCTGACACCATGACCTCAACTCAGTGGTGGACACAGAAAGCCATACTGCTATCAGTTATTGCTGGAGGGTCGATGGGAGATGGCCGCCCTTTTTGGAGCATGTTTGGACAGCGATCATGAGTTGGTTTGAGCTTGTGTCTGCATTTCTACCTAGAAAAACTGTAGAAATAAGATCATTGTGAATGCATCTCACAATGAGAACACTAAGGATGCTCTCAGTGAGAAACTGGCCCGGACAGCTATCAGAACAGAACAATACATCCAGAAGCCTAGAGTCACTTCCAGTCAGAAGTAAAACAGCACTGAAGACAGTAGCCGACTCTCAGAAAATGGTTAGAAAAGGTCAGTGAATATCAAGTTTCTTCTGAAGTAATGAATGCGTGCGAACGCATTCTAGGAGACCACAACCACAATGAGAAAACCAACTCAAATGTAGGTTGATAAATAATCGATGCAGTGACCGCAAACAATGGTGGGTGGAAAAGACTAAAAAGATAGAAAAGGCAGCGGCGATAGGCAACAGTAGATAGTCATTTAGACTTATAAAAGAAACTGTGGTGAAAAGGTTTTTGGTTAGTAAGGATACAGCGAAGGATGAACCTGCAATCCAGTTGCACAGGTGACAGTAGCGGTGAGCGGAAGTTTAACTGGCCTCCAGCCACTACCCGGCTGCCCATTATCCAGTCGGATCCTGAATAGAATATTGGGATAGGACCCTAACACTTACAGATGTCGAGAAACTTGTAAATAATCTGAAACGAGGAAGTGGAACAAGACAGATTTATGCACTCAAAAGAAGACCGTAATTAACCTTTCCTTACCTTGGTAAATGTATACAGTTTTTTCTTTGCACGTGTATATATGTAGTCTTACCTTTTCTTTTGATTGCATCATCTCTTCATTAATTACTTACTGAATATTAATCACTTGATTTCAAGTTTTCCGTGTAATTATGTAACCTATTAGCTCTTAAACAGTTCATTCTTTTACACTGATTTTCGTTTTTGCCCCCCCCCCTCCCCACTTGCAGAATTTTTGATCTCATCAGATATAAACAGCCATTTGTCTTGACTAAGATTTGTAACCATTAATTCTGTGTTTCCCTGACTTACTACCACCTTATTGTTAATCCTGGATGCCAAATCTCTATCTTGCATGTTTAAAGTATGTTAAGTTATTCTACAGATGTCTTTTTCCTTGTATTGTTTAGACAGACTAGTGCCGGAGGTATTTAAGGACGGTGGTAGAGGATTACTGGTCAAATGAACTGAATTGCTAGCCAATGTATGTGAGTCAGATGTGATCCTTCCGGATCTTAATCACTGATTCTCCCAATCTTCAAGAAAGGAGAATCATCGTGTGATAACCACGAGGGAACCAGTATGACAAACATAGTGTCCATGATGCTAGGTTCTGTAATCATTAAATGTCTGAGTGAAATTCGGGAGCAACGAAGACGGGAAAACCAGGCAGGCTTCAGATCTGATCGTGGGAGTATCGACCAGATATTATCTCTGCTAGTTTCTGAAACACAAGAGCACCGACACTGGCTGCATTTGTCGGTCTAAAGGGGGGTATTCAACATCATCAATCGACAGGTCTTACGGTAATGTCTCTCACTGAAACGGTTGTCGAGTAATTACATCTTTCTGTTGAAGGCAGTGTGCTC